TATGGAGTACGGGTTGCATACTAGGAGAATTGTATTCTGGAAAGCCTATCCTGCCGGGAAAAACAGAGGTAAGATATTTAATAATTTTACCCCCTGAAATTCATCCATTCTTCATGCCCTTATGGGCCACATCGAATTATTATTTGACTACTTTCATATTCTTGTAAAATTATTACAGATTAAATCATTATAAAATGAGAATAGAACTGAAAGATCTCTTCGAGTTCTAGATTTTTATTTCAAAATTGCAGATGATATTGAGTATATGACTAATTATGCCCAATTCTTTGATCGTACGCAACTAATAATTGTTATGATATGATGACAACATAGTTCAGGAAGTTTCAGATTGGACCATATATGCTCATAACCCCCCACCCTACCCCCGAATTAACTACACCAGAAACTTTAAGTTGATTTTATGGGTCTTGATGTTTCTCAGGGATGTATATCTACTGTTTATTTGGGTAGCAAGCTTATGTCCGTGGCATGTGTTTGACATGTTCCATGGTTAGTGTGAGGCATAGGCAACAATTCCTGTTCTTCCAGTTACATTTCTCCTCATTGTCTGTTTCACATTAAAGTGAACTTCCTCTTCTTCTTCTTGTGTCTTCTGACAGATACACATAAACACATACGTTCTTTCATTAAATGTATCATAATAGTATGATATTCAGATGGTGTCTATTGATTTTGTATTTTCTTGTTGTAGGTTGAACAGTTGCATAAAATTTTCAAGCTCTGTGGTTCGCCATCTGAGGAGTATTGGCGTAAATTGCACTTACGAAATTCAACAGTGATCAAGCCTCCACAACCTTATAGAAGATGCTTGGCAGAGACTTTTAAGGACCTTCCCGCTGCTGCTGTGCATCTTATGGAAATTTTACTTTCTGTTGATCCTACTGATCGAGGAACTGCTGCTATTGCTCTTGAGAGTGAGGTGTGCAGGATTTATTTTGTAAAAACTGCAACAAAAGTAATACGAAATGCTGATATATGAGATTCCTAAATGTTTGCAGGCATTCTTAAATTCATATTTTTTCCCCTGGAAATTTAGGAAATTTATATATATGTATATATGTTTTTGTTTTAATTTTAATTTTACTCCTAGTTGGTAGTTACAAAAAGCCTCTTCTTTGAAATTGTTTTAATATATTTTTGTTTCTACAGTTCTTCACCACAAAGCCTCTTCCCTGTGATCCTTCAAGTTTACCCAAGTACCCTCCCAGCAAAGAGATTGATGCCAAATTGCGAGAGGAAGAAGCTAGAAGGTACATCTTATTCTTAATACTCTTTTGGACAAAGATGATGCAAAGGTTAATCTTTGTTTGTGCACTTCTTTTAGGAAGGGAGCAATTGGAGGAAGGGGTCAGAAGGTAGACCTGGGCTGGAGACCACAACCTCCAGCAGTTTCAGGAACAAATGCTAATGCTGAGTTAATTGCGTCAGTCCAGGTAACTTCAAATAAGTTTCGAATCTTGGTGTTTCAATTTGGTTTAAAGTCTGATATTGTTTGACGTTGAAGTGAACTACCAAAGACCAAAAGATTTTTTTTGTAAGTTCTGGTGAAAATTGAAATTGTAATTTTGTATGCAAAATGATGTTTGAACTTATTTTGGAATTTTGAGTGTCGGATTGGAACTTAACTCTGCTGCCTAAGATTATCTGTCTACTGATTCAAGCCGCTCAGATGAAAAATTATGGCAGTTTGCCACAGTGCTGGTTGGCTTGACTTTTGTTTTGAGTATTTTTACTTTGAGCATGAGTCAGATCACTTTTGAGGGAGATCAGATAGGATAGGAGACATGCGATGAACAAATGAAGGAAAATCCTTAAAACTAAAACCTAAGAAAAGCCTATTCAGAATTGTTTTTGTTTTTTGTTTTATGAATCATTTCATATATATTTTGTCCTCCCTCCCTCACATCTAGTATCCTTCTTCTTACCATTCTCTCTGTTTACTACATCTTCGATAAAAAATTAAAACCAAATACAGAATTGTTACCAAATGAGTTCTTAATTTTTGTGCCATGCTAGGCCAAGTTTTGTGGTGACTGCCAATAGAACATGGCCCCTTCATTTCTGAACTCTTGGACTTCTTATTTTTCTACATTTTGTACTTAAAGACTTGGTGAATGTGTTGATGGCTTAATCATCTCTATTTTGGGCTTCTTGTCTTTTGTATTTTTCCAAGCAGTGAATCCTTCACTTACAACTGACAATTGTTTCAGGGTTGTGGATCTTTAAATTTACAACATTTGAAATTCTGTCATATCTGATGTTAGCAGAAATAACTAGGGATATGAGGCTTGTATTTAGGTAAATCACATTGGAGGGCTACTGGCCTAGATTGCCATTTGTACTGTGTGTCTAGATACACTTAAAAATCAAGTAGCTTATATCTGTTTGCAGGAGGAGGAATTTATGAACTGTTATTCCGATATTGTGTGTTCATATTTACGGAAGGTTCTTACAAAATTTCTTGGATGTACATTTACATAAAACTTGTATTCATGTTTCTCTAATCTATGTTGAGTGCCATGGAGGTTTTCTCTTCCAATATTTGCAAATAACTTTAATTTCTCTGGTCTTTATTTTGATAACAGAGATCTCTATTCTCTGTTTACATACATTTTAGTTCTTTCTGACGTCATTTGCGGTCTAACTACAGAGAAGACAAGGCCATTCTAACCAAAAGATGCGAAGTGAAATGTTCAACCCTCACAGGGAGGAAGCTGTTTCTGGTTTTCTGGTTGATCCAACTAAACATTTGCGAACAGATAAAGACGCTAGAAAAGATTTGTCGGAGCACCACAATAAGAGGACTTCAGTTTCAGGACCACTAGTCCATGGGCCCGGATGGCCCAAGTCTGGGAAGGAATGTAATGATTCTCTTATGAGTTCAAATAGAGCCAACTTGTCAAAATTGTCTGGTTTAGTATTGGCAAGGACTTCGTTGTCTGAAGACCAACAAGAGAAACCTGGTCCGTCAGGGCCAGAAACAACAAAACAAGTAGGTGGGGTTCCTGGGTCATTTGATGTGGAGGAGTCCACAAAAAATCAGGAGCGGATGCGTTATGCACAGAGAATTGCCAGGTCTCGTCAAATGGAAGATGAGAAGGCCTGCATTAAAGAACCAAATATGGTTAGTTTTGTTTTTCTTATTAAAATTTTCTAATTTCATATCACAAATAATTATTCTCAGTTTTTGTTAGCTGAACCTAAATTATTCTTCAAAATTCTTTTCAGCATGGTCGTGGGCCGAAGGGAAACAAAATTTATGTGTCTGGTCCTTTACTTGTTTCGTCGAACAATGTTGATAAGATGCTTAAAGAACATGACCGTCGGATCCAAGAACATGCTTGGCGAGCACGACTTGACAAGAATAGACCTGGGAAACAAGGGACAGAAAATCCAACATTTGCTTCTAGGCATTGAGGTGGATAAGCTATGGAAGTAAACATATTTTTTTATGGTCTTCATGGAGCTGAATCCCTGGAACCCATTGACCTCGTAAAACACACACACAAACACACAGAGGGAGATAAGCTCCTCTCTAATTTGGTATTGTTCCCTGTACAGTGATCACTTGTGTAAGAGATGGTCTTTCTTTAGTTCCACTATTTTACTTGGTAGATAACTTATCTGATCTGAAATGGCCAATTTTGAAGAAGTGGATGTTGCTTTAGACCATATTCTATATACTGACCTACATATTAGTCCAAATCCCTCTGGCAGCCATTTCAGAATGAATCTGTTATTCTGTTTGTAGCAATTTATTCTTCGTACATACAAAATTCTTCATAATGTAAATCAAAATTTCTCTTTATTTAATTTGGTGTGTTGCTTTTCCTGACATTAGGGCAAAGGGTTATCCTTCGTTTTAACAGGTCTCTCTCTCTTTACATTTGCAGAAGAAATCAAACAAAACATGTTGAACTTCAAAACATTGAAATGATAGTTTCATTTCAATTTCCGACTATTATTTTAAAGAATGAAACAGTTTATAACATGTTTTAAAGAATCAAATACTATCTGAAGTCTTTTTGAGGGTGTTGAAGGATCTAGACATCTATACTTTTTTGAATATATTTTTTTCAACAATTAGTTTACAGTAAACTGGGCACACGAGAGAGGGACATCTTCATCGATTTTATCTTTAAACATTACATTTCTCTAGAAGGTAATCCTCGAGTGCAGATAGCCGCATGCCAGCCGGGAGATTAACTAAGAAAATTTAGTTCAGAGACTTTCTTTGTGCGATGAGCATTAAATTAATAACTGTTACATAAGAAAGAATTACAAACAAAGCAGTGCGATGGTCTCTACATAATATGATGTTTGCCCATATCTTCGTAGCTTGGATATTTTGAATTTATCTTTCCGCAAATAAAGTGCTAAACAAGTATCAAAATCCTATCTGCATGTTTGAATTTTGACACAACTCTAATACAACTAGATTGAATGGACATTACTACTTTCATTCCTTGATTGCAAGGTCAAAATCACAACTTGTTTGATTTTCCGTTTGCAAGCCGTCAATGGGCATGAAAGTCAATAAAGGTACCTTCAAATTCAAATAATCCCATTAACAATTTGCCGGCTGCAATCCATGACCATGATCTGTTGTCTGGGAGACTAAGACTACCTCAAACTTGGTATCTTTCCAGACACAAGTGCAATACACGTACCTTTTTGCCAAAGAAGTCAATTAAGGTACCTTCAAATATCCTAATAAAATTTTAAAAAAGGACCCCACGACCATGATGATGTTTCAAACAAAAACAAAAGCAAAAAAAAAAAAAAGATGTTTCAAACAAAAACAAAAGCATGTTTCCAAGAAACAAACTTGTTTTGACATACAAGTTCTTTTTGGTTGGTTTCCACAACACACAAACTGTAGTATATGAGATTTGAACCCCCTCGAAAAGGCGGCTAGAGCCGACGTTCTTATTTCCTTACAAAAAATCAGTGTTCTCTGAAATCTCTCTCTTCCACAAATGTCTTCTCAAATCCTCTATGTCTTCCTCAACACTTGGACCATACTAATCATAGCAATCCTCAGCTCAAACTCAGTTTCAGGCACCACAGAGTTCATCTTCAACACCAACTTCAACTCCACCAGCCTCAGTCTCTATGGAAACGCCACAATCCAATCCTCCATTCTCAGCCTCACAAATGACACCACCACCTTCTCTTTGGGACGCGCCTTGTACCCTAAAAAAATCCCCACAAAACCCTCCAACTCTTCAAGTTCAACCCCGCTTCCCTTCTCAACCTCTTTCATTTTCTCACTTGCACCCTTCAAAAACCTCCTTCCTGGCCATGGTTTTGCCTTTGTCTTCTTACCCTTGCCGGGTCTAGCCGGTGCAAGCTCAGCTCAGCATTTGGGTGCTTTCAACTTCACCAATAATGGTGACCCCAATAACCATATTTTTGGTGTTGAATTTGATGTGTTCAAAAACCAGGAATTCCAGGATCCTGATGATAACCATGTTGGTGTGGACTTGAACTCACTTACATCTAATGCTTCATACACTGCAGGGTATTGGAGTGGTGAGTTTGATGAGGATTTCAATGAGTTGAAGCTTAACAATGGGGTTAATTATCAAGTCTGGATTGATTTTTTGGATTCAAAAATTAATGTCACCATGGCTCTTGCTGGTGTGACAAAGCCTAGGAAGCCGTTGATAAGCAAGGTTGTGGATCTTTCTGGGGTTCTTTTGGATGAAATGTATGTGGGGTTTTGTGGAACAACTGGAGCATTGGTTGAGAGCCATAGGATATTGGCTTGGAGTTTTAGTAATTCAAATTTTTCGATTGGTGACGGTTTGGTGACTCAGAATTTGCCTTCGTTTGTGGCTTCAGGGGACTCTGCTTTTGGATCAAAAGGGTTCATTGTGGGGGTTAGTGCTGGGGGTGTGCTGGTTGTTTGGTGTGTGGTCTTGGTGTATGTGATTTTGGTGAGGAGGAAGGGGAAAAAAGGGGAGGAGATGGAGGAAATTGAAGATTGGGAAATGCATTATTGGCCTCACCGGATTGATTACGAAGAGATTAGAAAAGCAACGGAGGGATTTGCAGAGAAAAATGTGATTGGGATTGGAGGGAATGGGAAGGTCTATAAAGGGCTTTTAGCAGGAGTAGAAGTTGCAGTTAAAAGAATTTCACATGAGAGTGAACATGGGTTGAAAGAGTTCTTGGCTGAGGTTTCAAGCTTGGGAAGATTGAAGCATAGGAATTTGGTAGGATTGAGAGGTTGGTGTAAAAAAGAGAAGGGTAGCCTGATCTTGGTTTATGATTACATGGAAAATGGGAGCTTGGACAAGAGGCTGTTTGAGAGCAATATGTTGAGTTGGGAAGAGAGAATTAAGGTATTGAAGGATGTGGCTTCTGGGATATTGTATTTGCATGAGGGTTGGGAATCTAAGGTTTTGCATAGAGACATCAAGGCAAGCAACGTGCTACTTGACAAGGATATGAATGCAAGGTTGGGGGATTTCGGATTGGCTCGAATGCACCAACATGGGGAAATGACCGCCACCACTCAAGTCGTTGGGACCGCAGGGTACATGGCACCAGAAGTGGTTCGAACCGGGCGAGCCTCACCACAGGTTGATGTATTTGGTTTTGGGATACTAGTACTGGAGGTGGTGTGTGGCCGCAGACCTATTGAAACCGGGCAGCCAGGCTTGGTTGATTGGGTTTGGAGGCTAATGGAGAGGAGTAAATTGGCCTTTGCTCTTGATGAGAGGCTGAAGACTAAAGGTGGATATAGCATTGAGGAAGTTGAGAGATTGCTTCATTTGGGTTTGCTTTGTGCATATCCTGAAGCTCATGGAAGGCCAACAATGAGGCAAGTTATGAAGGTGCTTGAAGGGGCAAGTGATGCCATTGATGATCAATCTGAAGGGGAAGGGATGAATGTAAATTTGCTGCACAAAATTAGAACAACTCCAATGTGGTCTGCTTATCGCTGGAACATGGGAGGACAGGGACACCCTACATTTGAAGACATGAAAAATTCTTCTTCATCATCTTTGTCTGGATCAGATATAATTAGAGTTGGTAGATGATTGGTTGCAGTTCATGAATCATAATGATTGTTTGATTTGTTTGTTCTGCTTTTGTGTGCTCCGACAAACATTAGGACTATTCATACTCTTTTAATACAAATCATTTGTTCATTTTTGTGCTCAAGTGGTTTTAGGACATGTTATAGCAGATTTGAGTTCATATTATTTCTATGAACATACAACACAAAGGGTAAAAATGCAGTTTTCATAACCACCTCAAACACAGCTCTCTGAAATGTTCTCTGAAAAGAAAGAGAAAAAAAGAAAAAGAAAAAGAAGAATTGAGAAACGAAGAATATACATGCAAAGTGTCTTTCTAAATCCACGACCTTGAGCAGTTGCACAACAGTAAGTGTGGGAGCGATTTTCGTCCCACAGGAATATTCGTCTGAGATTCCTCCTTCCTCTTCGTCGTCTCTTTCTCCTAGCAAAATAAATCGAAATAAGAGGACCACACTCGGGGGGTGTTGGCCAAAGGCCCCCGATGCCTAAGTTAGTTTAATTGATTCGTAGAGAAACAATAGCTAAAAAGGGTACGGAGAAGTGTGTATGGTGTGAACCGGGTGGCCGGAGCCATGTGTGAGAGAGAAAGAATTATGGTGGCTAGGGTTTGTGAGAGGGAATTTCTGCAGAGTTTCAGATAGGGTTTTAGACGTATCTCAACCCTTGTGCGTAGCCATCTATTTATAGGGGCCTCGGAGGCTAGGGTTTCAGAAGAATAATTCCACATATGGAAATGAATTATTCTTCCCTGATTTGGTGAGATTGGTGTAATTAGGGATTTGATTCAAATCAAATCCCTAATTAAGGCAAGAATCAAATAAATCTCAATTAAATCAGGTGACTCCCAATTAAATTGAGTAACTCCCAATTAGGTCAAATAATTCCCAAATTGATTGGCTTAATTATTTGACCTAGGATCTGAGATATTTTGCTTCCACAAATGCCCCTCAGCTTCTGCATGGCGTGTGGTGGCATGTAAGAGATGTGGATTGATTGTTGGGCTATC